AAGGATAACTATCACACAGCCTACAACAAATATGATAAAGTGCTGCAGATAAACTGACAACAACAACAACAGAATGCAGTAGAAGAGCAATTTATTTTGTAAACGCAGGTGGTTGACTTAGAAAAATGGAAAAAATGTATTCACTAAAACAACATAACTAAATAACTGTCAAATAAATAAATAAATAAAGGCAGGTGACTTGTTAAAGTAGTAGGCATAAATAGGCAGAAAACACTGATCTAAAATACATAAAGTTTTGAAAATATGACTTTAGATTTTAATTAAAATTTTTAAATAAAACTTTTACCATCAGTTGTACTGGCATCAATAATAAATTCTTTTTAATTCTAATTGTGTTTGAAAAGATTCTATTTTGGATTTCCTAATGAGAATTTGTGGAAATATTATTTCAACTCTCAATATTATTAGTCGGAGATAATGTCGTTTAACTACCGCAAAATTATTAGTTTTATTTTCGAATTTCTATTGTTGTTTGTTTTTATGCTTTTAATTAAAATTTTTCCTAATTTTTACTTGATATTAAAATTTAAAAAAAATATATGGTAAATTATACTGGAAATAGTAAAAGAATGTAAATAATACTTGAGAGCGAATGGTTTATAAAGTTAATAAAAATAAAAATATTGTAATAAAGCTAAAATAATAACAATACAACAAAAACCGTGTGGAATATCAAACCACCAATGAGACACCCACTTTGCTAACACACACAAGAACAATAAAAATGCAAAATATAACTTAACAACAAAGCACAGTGGAACTAAAACGAAAATAATTAAAATTGAATACTAAAGGCCTTATTCATGAAAACATTTTTATTTAATAAACAGTTTATAAATCAAATTTTAAGTATATGGAAATTTTGTTTTACAAATCTTTCATAAAATTAAAAGTTGTTTATGAATAGGGGAATAAGTAAATAACAATAAGTTATAAAGTTATATTTTCTTAGGGAAGAAAATTCTAAAAACTTATCTAATGCCTGATGAATATGTTTAGAGATTTATTTAGAACTCTTGAAGACAAATTATAATAAGAAAGTATAATAAGAAATTATATGTTAACTTCAATATTCGTAGGCAATTTACTAAGGATAAATTGGAAGATCCAATTGACGGAGCTAAGATACATTAATATATGTAAAACTAGGTTAAATTAAATACAAAATTGCTCCCACTGTGGACAGGTACATACATATGTGTGTATACATATATTTATGTACGTGTATCAGTTTATGAAAAATATATAAAACAATGACTGGCTAAGGTATTCATGAACACTCATATACTCTAAGTAACATACACAAACATATGTATGTATATTAGGGTGGTCCAGGGGCATGTTGATGTAAAAACCTCATTTTGGTGTGATTGCAATACCGGGGAAAAGTGGTGCTGCCAATACCTCTAGTCTGCCAGGACTATAAACTGGTGATGATCAAATGTATCCACGGCCTTTTCTTGAAATGATTTGACATGAGGTCGAACCAGAGAACCACATAATATGGTACTACAGGTGGCCAGTTGCCGCAGGACTTTGTCCTGGCTAGTTAGTTGGTTGAGGTTCCTTTGGGATCTACATAGTGGCTGTGGTTTCAACCCAAATTCGCGGGAAGAGAATATCGGTTAGAGGACTGATGAACGGTGAAATCTATAATTCGGGAATCTAAGTTCGATGTCAACAGATACCCCACAGAGAAGTGATTGTGCGACTAACACACTGGAAATGAGTTGGTGTTAAGTGTATATAATACAGGATGAATGTAAGGGTATACGGATCCTACCCGCCCGTGTACCTAGAGTGATGAATGAGAAGTGTGCTGGGTTGAATTTAGATGGCAGATGTTCACTTAAAGCTCTTCGACATTTATTCTATGATACTATTTCTCATAATGTTTTTCCTGACGTTGATATATGGTGAACTGGATCTAAAAGTGTCCTTTTTAAGTTTTCATGATTTTTTTCATATTTTTTCAAAGAAAACATATATCGTTCATTTACTACAAGACTGGTATAATCCAAAATTCAAACTTTTTGAAATGATTCATTCCATTTAGAGTGAATTTGTACGGGACTTAGGGTGAAATGAGGTCCGTCGTTATGAAAATCGGCAGAATGATTTACGTTTATATATGTATATTTTCATTCCGGTTGTATGACGATTAGGACTTATAATAGGCCTATGTCAAAAATTTTCAACAGACTTCGTCTTTGGTGCAACGAAAGATCACACACCAAATGACTTTTTTATTCATTACCATATCTTGACCACAAGACAACAATTTTGAGAAACATTATCTTATAATTTCTATGGGAACATCACCCTAATGTATGTACAATGTACATATATATGTATATGCTTTATTGTATAAATATGCTGCCGATGACGTTGGGGACGACAACACAATTGTGCCATTGTTGTGTTGTTGTTGCTGTGAATATACACATACATACATATATAGAATTTATAAATGAATGAAGGGATGTAATTTTCTCATTTGCACGTTTTGTTTTCTCAAACATAGTGTTGCTACTTTCAACATAGGTTTGTGTGTGTGCGTTCTTTTTTTTTTGTATGTTATTATCCTTGTATTGTTGTCAAGGACCATTTACAGGACTCTGTTGTGTGTTGTGTCGTGTTGTACTGTATATATTTAGTTAGTGCAACAAGAGGGGTGGTGGTAGCGCTTGCGCTAAAATTATATTTATTTATTATTTTAACAGATGCTGAAGCAGCAGTAGCAGGAAAAGTTTTGTTTTTGCATTTTTATAACAACATCAACATCCTCAACGTTTTGTTTATTTGTTTTTGTTGTTTTATGTCGTGTTGTTGCTGCTGTTGCTTTGTTTTTGTATATTCTTTTAGCTTATTCTATTTAAAATAGAATAGGCGGAGCGGTGTCTGTTTTTAATATTCATGTATACAAATGTACTTTTAAGCAAAGCCAATCATAACTGAGTAAAAAAAACACATAAAAATATAAATATGTACAACAACAAAAATGCAAACCTGGTAGACTTGATTGTATTGCATAAAAAAGACACATCTACACACATTTATGCATTTACAATTTACATCCTGTTTATAGAGAAAAGAAAGGGAAGCAAAGTAAAAAAAATGTAAGAGAAGGAGCGGAAGGTGGCTTTTTACTGTTCATCATTTTAACAAATTATAAATATTGTTTTTACGTGTTGTAGCTTTTTAATGTTGATTTCGTTGTTGTTGCTGTTGTTATTGCTTAAATGCCATTGTCTTACTCTTGTTGCTATTTACATACATACACATGTTACACATAGATACTTGGGTGTTGTTTGTAGTTTTTTCTTTCTCTGTATCCACCATTTTTAATTTTGTAATTTGATGCTGTTTACTACAGTTAAACAATATTGTTTTTGTTATTATTGTTTTAATACATTAAATTGAAATATGACTGGTTGTTTTGTGTTTGTATGTGCGATTGTCTGTATGTTTTTTTTTTTTTTTCTTGTACATTAAAATGATATTTATGAAATATTTTGTAATGGAACATTTAAAACATTAGTACTTTTAATTAAGGAAAATATAAATAATCCATTAAAATGACAAAACCATTAGCCAAGATCTTTAAACATTTTAGATACATAATTAATGGATAAATACTTTTTTACAGATAACCATTGTACATAATTCATAAAATCTTTAAAAATATAATATTTCTCAAAATTACTTGATATAAAATTTTAACATTCGAATGCATTCATTGCATCAAAATATATATAATTTCCTATTCAATAATGCACGTTTCAGAACTATTTAAGAATTTGGGCATCGATTTGTTAGCGCATATTTAGCATATCTATGACATAAAATATAGTCCTTCTCTTACCCAATGCTCCATTTACATGTTATTTTATCGTGCTATTTGGAATGGTAAAATTCAATTTTTTTTTCAAAAAATTTCTAACATCGACCAGGATTAGAATCACTAAGTAATTCCTTATTAGACATACGCTCAAGGCGATTAGTTACAAATCCTATTCAAAAAAAATTTATTAATGTGATTGATAACGACCACTCATTATCAAGTAATGCATGAAATAACCTACATTACACGTTACCAAAATTTTACTGGGAATAGTTTAAGCCTTTTTAAAATTACATTTTTTGGTACATTTGTATAAATAAATATTGAAAATGTGATCTATAGTACGTTGTCAAGATTTAAATCTTATTAATGTGATTGTCAAGGATATGTATGTTCCGTACTCATCTGGATTGCAAACTGACGAGTACGGAAACAGATTTAATACCTTTACTTCGATCACTCATTATTATCATCAAAAATCATTTTATTTAAGGAAACCTTAAAAATTCGTAGAATATTTCAAAAACATGAAGTTTTCATCCATCTATCTGAATCAATTAATTTCCAAAAATGAAATCCATTACATAACGATATCAAAAACTATCTATCCAAACAATTTCTAAATAGGATAATTAAAACGTTAAAACAAGAGACTTTTGATTTTAATTCGAAATAAACACTTCATTTTACAAATGAGAAAAACGAGAGAATGTAACACCACCAAACAAAAGCAAACGACAGGAAAGCGGAAATGAAAAATGAGCAAAATGAAGAATATAAGCCACCACACAACAATAAAAAAGAAATGAGAAAATTATTCTCAAAACAAGTTAAATTTGCATATGGCGCGCAAATTGTAAAACCGAATTGTTTTTTTTTTTTTTTTTCAACTTTTTTGTTTGTAATCGTTTATTGTTCGGGTGCATTTCGTATAATTCTCTTGTTGTTGCTGCTACTGATGCTAACGTTGTTTGCATTAGTATTGTTGTAGTTTGTTGTCGTTCAAGACTATGATGATGATGATGTTACTAATAAACTCACACGACAAATAGGCAGGCAGCAGGATAAAGGACAAAGCAACAAGAACAAAAAGAGGAAACAATTATATTGCTGGTGTTAGTGTTGTTGTTGCTGCTGATGATGATGGTGTTGGTGGTGGAGAAGACGATGAGACTGGTGTTGATAACGATGATAATATTAGCATTTGGTGGTTATGCAAATAAAAAGGCAAACACTGTTAATGCCTATGAACAGTTACTATTGGTACGTGCAACGTGTAGCATTAACATAACAAAATAAAAACGTGTCTAACGGATTATAACACAAAAACATTAAAAATTCATTAATAATTAAATTAATTATTACAAAAACAATTATATAACAAAAAAAAAGCAATTCTAAATAATAACTGAAATAAAATGGCTGGTCCATTTTTATCTCCCTTGCCCGGCGATCTTTTAACGGAATATATGTTCGGTCGTCGCCGCCAAAGACGTAATCGTACAACTTTTACACCTCAACAACTGCAAGAATTGGAGGCATTGTTTCAGAAAACTCATTATCCTGATGTCTTTTTACGCGAAGAAGTCGCTTTAAGAATAAGTCTAAGTGAAGCTCGTGTTCAGGTGATTAAAAATGTGTTTTACGATATAATTTTTTTGTCACACAGGATGTATGAGTGATATTAATTTAATAAGATTCGATTAAGAAATTAGTGAAATCGAATTATTTGTGTGAAAAAATAATGTTTAATTATATTTATCATAAGTTTAATTAAAAAATGTATAAATATTATTTAAACTTAATTATTTCAAATTAAGAACTTTTTAGGATTAAAATCAAAATATTATTACTTGCATTTACAAAAGTATCATTCGATTTAGTCTGTTGGAGAAAAATTAAAAAAACACCTGATTGGACATACATATTTCTGACAATAATTTTATACATAAAGGATACCTCCACATTATTGAAATTAGATTTTTCCAACGAAAAGTTTCGCCTAAAATTTTTGTAGGGAACTATAACTCGGTGCAACAGTAATTTTCACACATTAAAAAATCTATGAGTACAGAAAACTGTGGACCATTAGTATTAATTCTGTGTACTCTGTTTTTCGTAATCAGCTCTTATGCCCCTGTAAAAGCACCTTAAAGTTTAAAGGGCATGCGATTTTAAAAGATGGAATTCAAAATTTATATAAAATATTTGATATTAATATCAAATGAAGCTGAGAACCTTTGCTTCAAAATAATATTTATTTCAAATTCATCAGGATTAAAAAAATGGAAACATAAAGAAAATGAGACCTTTTTAAGTTTAATTTCTTTTACGATTTTTTGTCTAAGTGAGTCACATAAATAATGTAGATACAATGTACAGATTCCCAGCTTTCATTTGATAATAATATTATCGTTTGAAATAGTAAGTCCTTTAAACTTTGAATTTCTTTTATAAAGACATAAAAACTGATTATAAAAATCGTAGTACGAAGAATTGCTATAAATGGAATCTAGTTTCACATGAATATCAACTTTTCTTCTTATCAAAATTGTTACAGGATGTATTATCCGGATGTATTAAAAGGAAATGTTTTCTGCAGAATTTTTTGTTGAATGCCACATGATAATTGCGGCATCAAATGTCCAGTTTCGAGAGGACATTAGTATATTGCCTGTGTCATTTTATTTGTTTTTTAAACGATATACGTAAGTACATTTTCTAAACTTTTTTGGGGTAGATTCGCTTTTTCAATACTAAACATTATGTATGGAACGATAAAGAATATTTTTGAAAAATGTTTTGTCCACTGTCTTATTGTGTAGGACCTGTCTTATTTTTAATGATTTTAAAAGTCAAATAAATAGAGATTTTGTATAGACCCCAAAGTAATTTCAATAGACAGACCTACAGTTAGTTAGTTTGAAAGTAGAATGTATTTTACATCCAATCCGAAGAAATACACCCTGGCCTCCATAGGACTTGTTGTAAGTTCCTTTACCAGTGTATCTGATGGGAATCGAACCCACTAACCGAACGGAGACACACTCTAGATCATCTTAGAACTTAAAAAAAGAACAAAAACAACCAAATTTTGATCCAACTTTGATTGCAAGTCAATGACAAGTCTATAGACTAGACTACTCAAAAACGGATTTATTAAGTAAAGTAAAAATAAAAAAATATAAAAACATACAATATTGAGTATATTTTTTCGCATATGAAACAATATGTTCTTAATCATTTTGTAAAAAAGTTCGATAAAAAAAATTGCCAACACAGAATACGAACCTGGTCACGTGTTCGTTAGTCCGTTGACCTACTCACAACACAAGTCATTATAAGAGTTAAAAGTAATGTAGACGGTATGTAGTAGTCATTGAAAAATAATATACTGTGTAAGTAAAGTATACCAAAGTGAAAAATCTTTAAATAAAAAAATATGCACTAAAAAATAAAATAAAATTGTCCTAAAAACCTGAAATATGCCTTAAATATGCTATTAAAATGTTGTTGAAGGCGTTTCAAACAATAAAATTTTCAGTTTATCCCACCTTAATAAAAAGAGAGTCCTCCAATCGAATAAGAAGTTGGAGCCACAAACAAAATTAAAATCTTAAGTATTAAGGCCCGGTTTTTATATAATTGCATTATTCTACAAGAAAGTTGAAAAATTACTATTATTGTTTTTATTCTTATAAGTACGTTTAACGCAATGGAATTTTATAAGCCCCATATATATAAACTTTTATAAAGGATTAAGGATTACTTTTCTAAAGAATTAAGCAGCGTTGAATTCGAATCTGGAATCAGAATTTATTCATCACATCAATTTTTGAAGATATCGTGTCTTAAAGTTTAAAAAAACTCCGTTTACTTATACAGCTTTATTTACACATAAAGGCTTCAATTAGGGACTAAAACCTTTAAAATCGGATAGATAGTTTAGAAAATATACCATGTCAAATTTAACGCTTTTGGAAAAAAATCATAAAAGATATAAACTTTGAACCTCGATAAAATCTAAACCTCAACCATTTCGTATTTATACAAAGAATGTGTGTACAATTCAAAATCTCACTTTGTTGTTCGAAATTTTTTGAAATTATCCTATATGAATTTATTTTGTTGTATTTTTCTAGGTATGGTTTCAAAATCGTCGAGCGAAATGGCGTAAACAAGCTCGACTGCAATTATTGCAAGATGCATGGAGAATGAGATGTTTAAGTCTAGGAACTCCTCCAGTTATGGGCCAAGGAGGTAAAACAAAAATCAATTCTCCCAAATACCTAAACAACCATTATAAAAAATATCTGTCTTAGGTTCGCGAGTACCAAACGGCACTATGCCCAACGGCTCAGCACCACCCGGTTTACAGCCTGGAGAAGTTGCACCCGAAAATCTCTCTAACTCCGCTAATAAAGAAAATCCCAATGGTGCCCTAAACGAAACAAATGTTACCATGATGCATACCATGCATGATGGAAATACCGAAAGTTCACTCGCAAAAAGCAATGGCACTGAAAAAACCTACACTGAATTAAAACTTTACAAAGATCATCATCAACAAAATCAACATTTGACACAAGCCTTGCACGCACAAATGCAAAATGATCCTCGTTTAATGGCCGCCTTAGAACAGAACTCAGATGAGGGTTCAGATGGCTCCGATTCAGAAGAAATCGATTTGACTTCTGGATCATGTATAGATTTTTCAAATAAACACCAAACAGTAGTGGTGGGTTCAGCGGCATCATCGTCAAGTCCAACACTACATGCCCAGCAACAGCAGCAGCAACAACAATTACAACAAGCACAAATGGTGGCCAGCAATGGAGTGCATTGAAATTCTGTCAAACGTTTTTCTTTCTTTATAATAATCCAATTTGAAAATGCAATAAACAAATTAATCGTAACACTCGCTATAGTCTTATCAGATTTAATTGAGTTACATATGTATTTATTTTTATTTTATATTTATCAGAAGACACCAGATATCTGCATGATCCGATTCTTCAATAATTCTGTCAAACATGCTTTCAAGAAGTTTGTGATTTAAAATCAGCAAATTCCTTAAATAACGGAGATGTGAGCAAAATTCCTAAACATTATTGATTAATTTTTCAGTAACTATAGCAGCTATTTCAACAAATTTTGTCACATTCCCCGACAGCCGTAACGTCAATGGGTATACAGAGGCGTCACGAGCAATAAACTATTTCTATCTTTCTCTGTCTTTCGCATAAAACGATTTCAATAATTTTTTTAGCTGTATTTTATATACCTTTTCTTACCCAACAGTTTTAAAATAAAAAAACAGATTTTAGACTTTTTGGAATGTCAAAAGTGACACCTCTGTATACTTTATGGTTACGTACTAAAATATAAAATTGCGCAAAAATTATAAAAAATCCCCAAATTCTACGAAAATCCCTAAGTCCTTCCCCGCGAAAATCTGGTGACTCTGTGTAAAATATACAATAACATTTTCTTCAGTCGAAAATGTTATTAACAACAGTGTGCTGTTAAATAACGACAAAAATCATGTTAAACTCCTACCTTATTATACAACTGTATATTTTTTTATAGTAAGCTCCTATAAGTCAGTTGTTTTTTGTTTTGTTTTGATTTTTTTGACAAACACTTTAACAAAACATAAACAAAAAACTGCAATTAGTTGTATTCCAGATAATCGAATTCGATTTAGTTTTAAATAGTTCTTTGTTTAAAAAACATCCAATAAAATGTTATTAAAACTTTTTATTTCATTTTTGATAATAAACACAATTACAAATGCTGAAAAATATCCGGTAGTAATGTGGCATGGCATGGGTAAGAAAACATTTTTTTAAAACGATAATTCAATTTACTTTATCACAAATTTTTTAGGAGACACTTGTTGTTTTCCCTTTAGTTTGGGTTCCATCAAAAAGCTTTTACAATCAGAACTTAATAATATTTATGTTAAGTCTTTGCAAATTGGTGAGAATGTAGTAATGGATTATGAAAGTGGATTTTTTATACATCCCAATACACAAGTCGAATATGCCTGCCATGAGCTGGCTAAAGATGAAAAACTTAAAAGGGGTTATAATGCCATAGGTTTCAGTCAGGGAGGACAGTTCTTGTAAGTATATTTTAGAAAATATATTAAAAACTCTTTAATACATATGTTTACACATTCAAAGACGCGCTCTGGCTCAACGTTGTCCCCTGCCACCCATGAAAGTCCTCATAACCATGGGTGGTCAGCATCAAGGGGTATTTGGTTTACCCAAATGTCCTTCTCATAAATCGAAAACATGTGAGTATATACGCAGGCTTTTAAATACCGCTGCATATGATACTTGGACTCAATTGGAATTGGTGCAGGCCACGTATTGGCATGATCCTCTTGATGAGGAAAAATATAAATCACGTAGTACATTTTTGGCTGACATTAATAATGAGGTATTTGTTAATGGTTTGTACGCGGATAATTTAAATAAATTAGAAAAGTAAGTAGAAGAGCAACAAATTAAACTATAAAAAAAAATCCAAAAAAAAATTATTTATGATACGATTTGATTGTTAAAAATTAAATGTTAAATGTCCATTTGTCCACCCTTCAAACATATTAACGTAACAAGACCTAAATGATTGAACCTTAATTATCGAAAAATATGCTCTTTTTAAATTTATTACTACTCAACATTCTAGATTCGTAATGGTTAAATTTATGAATGACACAATTGTTCAGCCCAAAGAATCACAATGGTTTGAATTTTATAAACCGGGACAGGATAAAGAAATTTTGCCGCTAAAAGAAAGTCCCGTCTATGAACAGGTAATTTAATAAAAATATTTTGGTTTTAATAATTTTAATTCAAAAATTATTTATTACAGTTGGGGTTAAATCATATGGCCGCCAATCAAAAACTTATGTTTCTCGAGGCTGAAGGAGATCATTTGCAATTCAATAAAACATGGTTTTTGGAAAAAATTATACCTCTACTAAGTCAAGACATGAATTAATTTGTAAATTTTATTCTAATTTTTTTATACTTCTTATTTAGAAAACCTATATAAATCTCTTATTTATATAACTTCAGTGCTTTCAATAATATTGACAATATTTTCCACAAAATCACACATCAAAGTATAGGTCTGCATATATAAAGCATCGCGGTATGGTACTAGTTTGTGTACCCTTTTCTCTAAAATATATTGCCGCTTTTCAGTATCTTCATATTGTAAAATTTTTAAAATATTTTCATTCTGCTCCTTTATTTCTTCATTTTCCGATTGCTGTTTAGTCAGTTCTTCATTTAGAACTTGAAGACTAGTTTGGTAAAAAGAATCTTCTATTGTGCCCACTAAATCTACCCATTCTTCTATGGCCGTCGAAATTATACCCCTTATAAACAGCAAACGTGTACGCTGTCTTTCGGGACTATTAACAATTTTAGATTCTAAATCGATACTACGGCCTTTCATGGATTCTAATATGCCTGTAAGTTCGTTGAACATTAAAGCTCGCGTTTCCGCTGGATTCACTTTCAAAATGGCACTTTTTAATGTTTTCACTTGTAAGTCCCACATATTTTCTCTGGGTTTCTTGGCACGTTTAAAGAGATTTTTTAATAACTCCAAATCATGATATCTCTCACATTTAAAACCACTATTAAGTTGCTCAAATAGTTCCATTTCATTTAAGGAACGTTGATAAGGACATGTACATTCACTAGGTTGCAAATCTGCGGCTAGATTGCCTAAACCATTGGTTAATTCATTGACCATTTTCCTGTTTGATTTTTGAATTACTTCTCTTTGCATTTCATTTAATTTTCTTTCGTATTCCGGCGGAGCTGTACAAATCCCACTTAAACGCATTACAATGCCATCCAATTTGCGACTGAAAAAGGTGGGTTTTACATTTAAAACCCATTTGCCTTTTACGATATTTACTCGTCTCGGTTGAAATTTAACTAATATATCCCTTACTTCTCCGCTGCACAAACGAAATGGCTTAGTATCGAAAGCAAACTCATTGTCCCAAGCTTTTAAAAGTGCCGAATTTTTTTCATAGAATGAACGATGGGACCATTCAAAAGTCAACACTTTACGACCAATATTTTGTATAGAAAAAATTTTTTTGATTTCTGTTTCAAAAGGAAAACATGAAAAGTTGGTAAATGCTTTAAAACTGCGAGTACTGCGTTTTTTTGCCACGAAAATGATTTGATCGTTTATTTTGAACGCATAATCCAAAAGCTCAAAATCCGTTTTTATATTTGTTTGAATTTGACATTCTTCTAGATCGCCTTCAATAAAGGTATCAGTAGAAATTTTACAAATTTCCTTAGAGGACATTATTTGTATCTCAGAATTGTGTTCCTTAACTTCCGAATTCAATATACTTTCACCTACAATTTGCAAATTATCAATGTCGGGGTAATATTCTATAACGTGCTCTATATCACTGCGTATTTCTTCTATGCAATTTTCCAAATGTTTAGATTTCAACCAACTAGAGGGTTTCTTACAACCTTGGTATTTAGGTTTACCTAGCAATTCCTCTTGGGCAACCTTAGGCAAACCACTTATTTCTACAGCCGCATTATATTGTCTCTCTGTTTTTGGTAAAGTTTCTTGTAATTCTGCTAGATCACATTTTTCCTTTAATACAGAAGGCTGCCTGGTGCTTAAAATAGTAGGGTTTAATCGCTGGGCGTAATCCATTAAACGTTTAACGGTATGTTTATCACGCTCATCTACAGTGACCAAACGATTGTATAAAATATCAGATGGATTTTTTTTAGTTTGTTCATTAATTTTAAGAGACAATTTCTCCCTTTCCTTTAATACATCTTTCCAATATTTAAGACGTTTATCATAACTATATTCCGATGAGGGCAATTGCAAACTTGAGCAGGGCGAAGAAGACACCTCACAAATTCCTTTACGTTCATCGAATATATAGTCAATCATTTCATTGACTAAACGCCTGTTGTGTTCCATTGAAATTGGATGAGTTTCCGATAGTGATGAAGTCATGGTGTATTCATTTAAATTGGAAGTATCTGATACGTCCAGCAGAGTGAGACGTTGAGAATCTCTATTTCTTGTCAAATTTAAATTCATTTTTATTTATTTAAGAAAATATTTTAGTAAATATGTTTATTTGAATGTATTATGGGTAATTTGACTTTAACGTTGTGTTATAGGAATAGGAAATCTAAATTATAGAGTTGTATTATTAACACTTAGAGAAATATTTGTTATTGACATTTTGTAGGGGCGAATAAAAGATATAAAAAAACATGTACATACATATATATAAAAAATTATAAAAAAATAATAAATGTATTTATAAATATTCCATAAAAATGTTTGGTTGATGTTTATAAATTTAATTAATATATAAGTAAACCATTATATTTTAGAAATAATAATAACTTACTTTTTTCATATTTTTAATTATTAATTTCTGTATTTATATTTGTAAAAAAATATAATTTAGTTTATTTATATTCGCGCGACATTTTATTGATTTATATTGAAATATTTTTTTAGATTCACTTTTAAATAGCTAAAGTCTTATGTATTTTATTTATTAATTTCTGTTCCTGTCATAATTTCACTTTTACATTCACGGTATCGATAGCGGTAATTCTAAAGTTTTTTTTTCTTTAAATTTGATTTTATTGTTCCTGTGAGCATATATTAAACTGAATGCTCTCGTAACCGACCGATATTTAGAAGGCGAACTTTTGTAAAAAAGAAAGAAAAATATTAGTGTATTTTAAAATCTGTCATAATAATAAACTAATTCAAATTCATTGAACTCTGGGCCAAAGTCTATATAAATAACTAAAATTTAGTTATATATGTACTAAAGCAAGTAAATTTTACCAGATAAATTTGACAATGTGTATGTTCAAATAAGTTTGAACATACATGTATGTATGTACTTACATATGTACATACATACATACATACATAGTACATTAGGGCGTCCCAACAAATATGAATTTTACTTGGATGAGTCTCATTTTATTCGTTAACTGCTGTAACATTTTAGCCCAATTGGAAAAGATAACCTATGCCAGAAATCCATTAAATAGTGTAAAATTGTGTAAAAATAAACACAAAAAATTTTCATATGTAATCTATCTTCTTTTGCAACTACATACTCCTTTTTGCTACAAGTCTATGTCTCTTACTTGTGTTGTATATTCTTGAAAATAGAAAATGACTTCATATTGCCCGTATAAAGTACACAATAAAATAATATTTTTCTTTATGTTTTATGCAATAAACTATAGTAAATACATGAAATTTTACCATTTTCCAAATTTTTTCACTAAAACAGAAATAACACCGGTAAACGCGCGAATAAGAACTGACATGCATTTGACATTGACAGGGTTGTTTAATGTAGGTATTGCATTTAGTACTACCTACATCCATACATACATACATATGCATGTGAATAAGTAGCAGATTAGTATAAATAAAAAAGAAATTTAAATGCTTTGAAAAGCTTTTCATCGAAATCATGTCCCTACATTTGAGAGTCTAACAGAGGAAATGTAATTTAGCTAATTAAAAATATAAAGTGATATTAAACACAAAAAACAACTTTAACACTAACAGATTTCTTATAAGATGTAGTCTGTTATGAACAATTAAAATTTAAGGAAATTAAAATAAACATACAAGAAAATGTATAATAAGTTAAAAATGTAAAGCTTTCATATCAAATGTTAAGTGAATTACATATTTAACATTGACTTACTAGAATAACTAAAACAGCTCTGTTATAATTAACATTTATGTTAAAATCTATTTTTTTTCTTCTTATTACACAGCTTCTATTGCTTGCTTCAAAATCTAAGTGTCTACTTTTCAGATCAATTTTTCGCTAATTTTCTTGAATATAGTACAAAACTTCATATTACCCATATAAAATACATCTTAAAGATTATTTTTCGTTACCTTTTATTACAAAAACAATAGTAAATACACGGAATTTTTACAATTTTCTAAAATTTTCACTAGAACAAGAATGACACCGGTAAACGCGCGAATAAGAACTGACAGTACATTTGACAGTAACAGGGTTGATTCATATGGGAATAACACAAAAGAAAGCAAAAGAAGTTGGAAGCTCTACAAGAGTGGATTTTAAAAAAGTTTTTTATCGAAAAGCTTTTATTTAACACTAACAGATTTCTTATAAGATGTAATCTCTTATGAACAATTGAAATTTAAGGAAATTAACACAAACACCAGAAAATATAGTATAAGTTAAAAATGTAAAGCTTTCGTATCAAATGTTAAGTGAATTGCACATTTAACATTGACTTATTAGAATAACTAAAACAGCTCTGTTATAATTAACATTTATGTTAAAATCTGTTTTTTTTTTCTTCTTATTACACAGCTTCTATTTCTTGCTTCAAAATCTAAGTGTCTACTTTTCAGATCAATTTTTCGCTAATTTTCTTGAATATAGTACAAAACTTCATATTACCCATATAAAATACATCTTAAAGATTATTTTTCGTTACCTTTTATTACAAAAACAATAGTAAATACACGGAATTTTTACAATTTTCTAAAATTTTCACTAGAACAAGAATGACACCGGTAAACGCGCGAATAAGAACTGACAGTACATTTGACAGTAACAGGGTTGATTCATATGGGAATAACACAAAAGAAAGCAAAAGAAGTTGGAAGCTCTACAAGAGTGGATTTTAAAAAAGTTTTTTATCGAAAAGCTTTTATTTAACACTAACAGATTTCTTATAAGATGTAATCTCTTATGAACAATTGAAATTTAAGGAAATTAACACAAACACCAGAAAATATAGTATAAGTTAAAAATGTAAAGCTTTCGTATCAAATGTTAAGTGAATTGCACATTTAACATTGACTTATTAGAATAACTAAAACAGCTCTGTTATAATTAACATTTATGTTAAAATCTGTTTTTTTTTTCTTCTTATTACACAGCTTCTATTTCTTGCTTCAAAATCTAAGTGTCTACTTTTCAGATCAATTTTTCGCTAATTTTCTTGAATATAGTACAAAACTTCATATTACCCATATAAAATACACCTTAAAGATTATTTTTCGTTACCATTTATTACACAACACTAGGGGGAAATTTGTTCATTCAAATACAATTTTTTGAAGAATAACCATAATTTGTCTATGAAATCCAAAAGAAAAATATTTTGGGGAAAATTATATGCCTACGGATCCGCGGTAAGCAAAATAGGTCAGTTCTTTCCAAATATTTTGTATTATTCGCAACGACCTTTACCACACAAAATTTCTAAAAAATGAATACATATTGTACAAGCATGCTGGTGTGATACATACATATATGGTCCGAACATGGAAGCTCAATCAAATTATTGTGCCAGCATGCTGGTGTTGTGTATGGGCCCTTTAAGATTAATATGTAAAGCTTTCATATCAAATGTTAAGTGAATTGCATAGTTAACATTGACTTATTAGAATAACTAAAACAGCTCTTTTATAATTAACATTTATGTTAAACGCTGTTTTTTTTCTTCTTATTCCACAGCTTCTATTTCTACTTTTCTGTATACATTTAAGATCAATTTTTCACAAATTTTCTTGAGTATAGAACAAAACTTCATATTACCCATATAAAATACACCTTAAAGATTATTTTTCGTTACCTTTTATTACAAAACAATAGTAAATATACGAAATTTTTACAATTTTCTAAAATTTTCACTAGAACAAGAATGACACCGGTAAACGCGCGTATAAAAACTGACAGTATATTTGACAGTAACAGAGTTGATTAATATGTATAGGAATAACACTAAAGAAGGCAAAAGAAGTTAAAAGCTTCACAAAAGTGGATTTTAAAAAGCCTTTTAATCGAAAACTTTTTAAATTCAATATTGATTGACAGAGTATTTTTTATGCCGGATGTACAGTCCAATAAATGCATTTCAATTTAGTATGTAATTTTTAAAATTAAAAAATCATTTTTTATGAATTTATATGAAATTGTTTGACATTGAAAATTTTTTAATTTAAATTAACGTTATATGATTCAGAATCGGATTCCAACACGAATTGTTTATTAACTTAATCGGAAATCGCTACAATTTCCTTGGGCTCACAAATAGACGACTCAAAAACCGGAAAAATTTTAAAAAGGAACTGACAAAACCGAGTTGTATTAAATTTAACAGAGCAGTTTTTTGTGGTAGTAAATTTCCTTAGGGTTGTATTTTCAATGTTATTGTTCGCGTTGCCAATTGCTGTGTATAACACACGTTGAATTTAAAAGTATTATTTAATTTAAACATTTTGAATTTGAATAAATGTAATTTTAAAGACAACTGATTTAATGTATCGCGAAACATGGAAACAAATATTCTCTTTAAAAGATAAGTTTTCCTTAATGGCTGTTATATATGCAAAAATTTTCGTAGAGTAGATTTTTTTTTTTGATTTTCATCAATTATAAAAAAATTCAATACTAATAAACATAAAATGAATGAATAAATAAATCAATGAATCTGTTAATACGATATCACCAGCCAATACCTTTTTTGCCATTCAGAACCCACTTTAATAACAAATTAAAATCTTATTATTTTATACCACTTTAGTTATAAACAAATAAAACAACAATGTTGTAATTTTTCTTTCCATTAATAATATTTTATTTATAAAAAAATCGTTTATATTATTTAATAAATAAATGATTATAATAAATACATGCCAGACAAAACGTAAACTTTGTAATATTTCTTTGAAATACTTTAAAAACAAATATTAGTAATAGTAGTAGTTGTATTATTATTATTATTATTCCTTTTTTAAGTAAAGTGCACTTGTTTTTTAAAACATTTATATGATGTTTATGCCAAAAATAATAATATTTTCTATTTTCCATCTGTTAAAACAAAGAACCACAGTTGAGAAAAAATAGAGGAAAAAACTCAAAATAATAAAATATAAAGAAAACATAACAAAACGAAAAACTAACTTAACTAAATTATAGATTAATCTTTAAAAATAAACTAAAAATTTATATTGCTTAAAACAACCAATAATTGTGTATTAAATGTAATCGTAATCATAATTATTATATTTAGATAAATTCTACTTTTCAATTCTACTTGGTAACGTTTAATAAATTTCTAATTCTATTTACGAGTTTAGTTAAAAAAGAAGTATTAAAGTATTAAAGATTTTGAAAGTTGGTTTTTCTGTTTTGTTTAGAAACTATTTAAAGATATGATTATAGAATGATGATTAGCTTGTTTGTTGTTATTGTTAAAGTTGTAATGTTCAGTATGATTAGATCATAATTTCGATTTGGGTTTAGCATTGCGAGCGAAGATAATTTCAGGATTTTTATCCGGTTTTTGAATTTCACGATAATTATTTACAATTTTCTTTGTCTCATCTTTGGGACATGATTGGAGATTACGAAAAACTTGAACCTGAATGTAAATAAAATAAAAATACATTTAGTAAGCACATATATCAACAAATTCAAATTTTAAATTTGTGAATTAAAAACAACTACCCACCTGTCCTCTTGAAACATATATAGGTGTACGATATATAATCCAAGTAACACTCTCAAAATAAGGTGCAGTTGTTAGAGATCCTTTATATGTATAATAATGTTTGCTCAATTCCTGCAAACCCATCCACGACAGACAATCTATATTTAGAGACCAAAGAGAAGAATTTAGTAAATAAATCGTTTCCAAACTTTATCACAAATCTATTACCTGAATCAACTGAAGCTGTGGTATGTATTTTTTGTACAATACGAATACCTTCGGTAATTTTCTTAAATTCCGGACAATCCTTTTCTCCACAAGCCTGTATGAAGAAAGCGGCAACAGCTAAACCATCTGGTTTATTTTTAGCTTCTGAGAAATCCTTATACTTGGCATTATAATGTACAGCATGAGCCTCCATTGAATATTTTATACCCTCCAGAGTATGTTCACAGCCCGATTCATCGGTATCCGCCCAATGAAAATGCAACTGTTCAAAAATATACTTATCATTGCCCAAACAACCGTGCAGTAGATAGGGCTGTTCCTTGCGTTTACTAAACGTTACCATGGCCGAGGTGCCCGTATTGACGACACGAGCCACACCTACCGGCTCCCAATGGCCATGATACTCCAAGGGATCAATGTCATCGATGTGTTCGATGACACGGTTGCTAATTTCAATAGGTGATTGAACGGGCATTTTAACGTTACTGCGGCGTTAGTGTGACGTAAGCTTAAGCCTTATTTACGATTTAAGGAGTTGTTTTAAAGTTGTTTTACGTACGAATGAAATTCAACAGGATGTTGTTTGTTGTTTCGCCCGACAAAGATTAAGTGATATTAACCGAACTGTAGGATTTTTTCTTAACTTTATAAACACAAACGTGTTGTGATTTAAATAGCCAAGTAAACTGCGACGTGGTGGCGAATTTTATTAAACTCGTTGAAAAATTAAAGAAGAATTCTTGTTTCAGCAAAAACGCCTTTTTAAAGCACCCCGAGTACTCAAATACACAAAGGGTTTAAGTATCTGTAAAATGAAATAATAGAAAAAATATTTGAAATAAATTATTAAATAACTGTTAGTGCCATAAAGGCAGTGTTAAAACTAAATAAACTAAAACAAACATCTTTTGTCTTCCCCATAAACAAACAAACAAACAAATAAACAGAAAGATAATAATTATAACGACTTTTTAATTCAATACGATTGTTGCGTGCATCGTTTCACGTTATCTTTATAAACAAAATTGAAGAAAAAATGAACTACAAACGCCTTTAGTTACTCAAGTGTTTGTCCTTTTGATATTTATAATTGTAATTTATACCTTTTATTTTATGAATAATTCTTCGTGCCTTTCTATTACGTTTCTTATTTTACTGTCAATATTAAACACTCACTCACTTTTATTAATAAAAATGTAAAACTGTTTACACCATTTTCAATTTAAACGAAGTATAAGCGACGTTAAGTGGCAATATATTGATGTAGGTTCAAAATGTTCCAGTATTTTTTTAATATTAGTTATAGACAGAATTGGTCAAAAATGCTTCTGAGAAGTTTCGTTTTCATCCGTTTCATTAAGAATTTTAAATTTGCAATAAGAATATAATTATCATCTAGAATATAATTGATTTTACTGATTTGTAATGAAATAAATAATTTTGCTGCTGGCTAAAAAACTGTCAACTGTGTCTTTTTAAAACTGTAATTTAAAATAAAAAAGTTATTAATCAATTTAAATTGATCATTTTTTAATGATAATGTATTTTTAATTATTACATGTTTTAATTATATTAACAAAAATACTACAAGATAATCTCAAGAAAATAATTCTAATAATCATTCATTCTAAAAGTCTTCCCAAAATTCATATAAATTTGTCATACATAAATGGAATAAATCTTTTTTTTAACTGCGATGAATAGGAATATTTCAATTGAAACAATTTTATAATTAAATAGTAATTTGATTAATTTGGTTGTAATATTTTCTATAACGAAGTTTGAACGATGACGAAATCATTTGAATCTTTGCTAGGTTGTTCATATGTATTTGTAAACAAAACAAGTTTGTTTACAAAACAAAAAACAGCTGTTTAAATTAAGTACTTAATAAAAACAATGGTAAAAGGGAAATAAACAAACAAAGAGTCATTAAATTCGTACCCAAGGCAAACTAATACAAAATGACCGCAACAAAAAAAAAACAACAAAATTCTCTCACAGCCAACTTAAAAGCGTTGATATGTAAAAATATGAATGATTTTACCCGGCTTAACTGAATTTTCCACTTAGGGCAACTTATATAGATAGACTCGCTTTACGTAAAAGTTCCAGAACTAGTTATCTTAGAACTTTTTTCCGAATTTTCTTATTATTAATTGGAATTGGTGTTTTCTAGAACAATTATAATAGAAATAAACATTATTTCCACCATAAAACACCATTCATCAATTGATGAATTCCTGTTATTTTATAACATATTCATTCACTTAAAAAATGAACAACAAATTAAATTGAACATTTGCACATTTACACTTGCAAATTATTTTCAGTTTTTTTTTTTTTTGCTATTTCTTTATAAATAAGCATTTTGATGTATTAGTGTGTTGTGGAAATGAAAAAAAGGTGAGTCTTCTTTTGGATCGTGTTGTTTAGTTAATAGGAAATAATAAATAAAATACACTTGTTTGAATAACCGGCGTCATTTGGTGCAACAATGGCAAACCTACAAACATTTGTTAACAATGCCACAAATAATTTATTTAAAACGTATTTAGCACACTAACTTTAGGGAACTATAATTCAAAGGTGAATTTTAAATTAAATTGATTTATTTGCAAGAGAATTGATGAAAGAAAAATTATGCAATTTATTCAAAGAAAATATTTAATGAAAGTGTTAAAAAATAAAATAATATTGAGAAAACGAAATTAATTTGTAATTGATTTTCATATAAATGTTTTGTAATAAATAATCATATAACAGATTTATTTGAGTAATTCATATATTGCCAATGCATATATCAATCAAAAAAGTGTTTTAAGAGATTTTAAATTAAATTTTAACATGAAATTTACTACATGCTTAAGTTTTTATATGAAATTTTTAAAACTGATAAAAATTTTAATATTTTTCTTATCGTTATTAACTGCACTGCGTATGAGTACTTTTTTTCTTTACTTGAATTAATATTAATCATACTTTCTAATTGTTTAGTATAATTATATATATAGAACTTGACACATAAATAGCGTAAGCATGACAGTTTCATTTTAATTGTATAACAATTTAATTGTTTAATCGTTAGTTTAATTAATACAAATATTATCCACACAACCATTTTATAAAAAGTAATCGAATAATTAAAACTGTAACCGATTGAGAAAAAATAGCAAACAATTTATGAGAATTTATATTCAAATCAGTGTCTGTGTTCTGTAACTTTCGAATCGAAAAATTTATAATCATCTTGTTTAAAACTCGGTGAACACATGCGGTGAACACAACAGTACACCCACAACAATTTCGGTACTTTTTCTAACTTACATACTTTTGATAAATAGCGCATATAATAGTCAATTGACAAATATATAGTATAGCCTATCTAGTATTGCCTAATAGTCTTGTCTATAGTCTAGTCTATAGTCTAGTCTATAGTCTAGTCTATAGTCTAGTCTATAGTCTAGTCTATAGTCTAGTCTATAGTCTAGTCTATAGTCTAGTCTATAGTCTAGTCTATAGTCTAGTCTATAGTCTAGTCTATAGTCTAGTCTATAGTCTAGTCTATAGTCTAGTCTATAGTCTAGTCTATAGTCTAGTCTATAGTCTAGTCTATAGTCTAGTCTATAGTCTAGTCTAGTCTATAGTCTAGTCTATAGTCTAGTCTATAGTCTAGTCTATAGTCTAGTCTATAGTCTAGTCTATAGTCTAGTCTATAGTCTAGTCTATAGTCTAGACTATAGTCTAGACTATAGTCTAGTCTATAGTCTAGTCTATAGTCTAGTCTAGTCTATAGTCTAGTCTATAGTCTAGTCTATAGTCTAGTCTATAGTCTAGTCTATAGTCTAGTCTATAGTCTAGTCTATAGTCTAGTCTATAGTCTAGTCTATAGTCTAGTCTATAGTCTAGTCTATAGTCTAGTCTATAGTCTAGTCTATAGTCTAGTCTATAGTCTAGTCTATAGTCTAGTCTATAGTCTAGTCTATAGTCTAGTCTATAGTCTAGTCTATAGTCTAGTCTATAGTCTAGTCTATAGTCTAGTCTATAGTCTAGTCTATAGTCTAGTCTATAGTCTAGACTATAGTCTAGACTATAGTCTAGTCTATAGTCTAGTCTATAGTCTAGTCTATAGTCTAGTCTATAGTCTAGTCTATAGTCTAGTCTATAGTCTAGTCTATAGTCTAGTCTATAGTCTAGTCTATAGTCTAGTTTATAGTCTAGTCTATAGTCTAGTCTATAGTCTAGTCTATAGTCTAGTCTATAGTCTAGTCTATAGTCTAGTCTATAGTCTAGTCTATAGTCTAGTCTATAGTCTAGTCTATAGTCTAGTCTATAGTCTAGTCTATAGTCTTACGTCTATAGTCTAGTCTATCGTCTAGTCTATGTGAGTCTAGTCTATAGTCTAGTCTATAGTCTAGTCTATAGTCTAGTCTATAGTCTAGTCTATAGTCTAGTCTATAGTCTAGTCTATAGTCTAGTCTATAGTCTAGTCTATAGTCTAGTCTATAGGTCTAGTCTATAGTCTAGTCTATAGTCTAGTCTATAGTCTAGTCTATAGTCTAGTCTATAGTCTAGTCTATAGTCTAGTCTATAGTAGTCTATAGTCTAGTCTATAGTCTAGTATAGTCTAGTCTATAGTCTTGTCTATAGGCTAGTCTATAGTCTTGTCTATAGGCTAGCCTATATTCTAGTCTAGTCTATAGTCCAGTCTATCAATATATCAATTTTTTTTGTTTTAACTCCTTCAACTTCTAATTAGAACAAATGCTAAAATTATTTGCAATTAAAAGCTAAGAACCATTTATCAATGTCTTGTTATCATATTAGAATTACGATATTACGCCGGTATCAAAACTGTCTGTCAAATGATACAATATTAATAAAATGTGGGAGTAAATCAAATAGAATATTTAATCTCTTAAATAAAAATCAATGAGTAATGATATTAGTTCTAATGTTTTAAAAAGAGTCCAAAAGACAAATGTAAATAAAAAGCGAAATTCAAATACAGACGAATAAATTAATAATAATTTCAGTATAAATAAACGAAATTGTTTAATATACAAAAGTAGACATAAATAAACAAAGTACAATGTATAACAAGTCTAAGAAAATAAAAACAGAAAATGAAAATTGTTAAAGCTTTTTATGCTTTAATAAATTATTAAAATTTTTAGTTCATTTAGAAATTTTATAATATACTATAAATTTAATTTTTTTCAAAAATGCTTTGCTTACCAAAAAGTTATAAACTTGTGATATTTTATTAGTTACATCAGAAAATGCATTATTCGAAACGATTATTACAACATAAACTTTTTTGAGGCATAAATTAACAATTTATTTTTATTGATTTTTTTATTGCACTAACAGAAAAAGTAATTCTATTGATTTTGTTGTTTTTATCACACTTGAGTTGTTATTATTTTTATTTTATTTTTTTATAAGTTACAAAGGTAATTTTATTTAAAACAATTAACAAAACATTAATTTGTACAAAATAAACCTTTGTACAAATAGAGCTTTATTATTAATTCTAATTAACGTAAAACCAATTAAAATAATTACTTTAAACTTTTTTCCAACCGTTATTTTATACTTGATGACCGGAAATTTTAATAAAAAAAATTAAATTTTTTAAACGTTTAATAATGATTTATATTACTTTTCGGTATTTTTTATTTTAATAAATTAAAACATTTAAATCACGTGAGTCGAAAGATTTTCGCACGATCTTTGAAGTTCTACCACACCGCACAAAGTTTTGCAAATAAATGAATTTAATATGAAGTATTTAGCTACAAA